CTGAGCGGGGCTCGAACCTGCAAGCTTCCGATTACGGGGCGAGCACTTTACTCCTGTGCCACCGTCACCACACAAATCTGTTTTATTTGCATGTGTTGCCAGTATGATAAGCAAATCTGATTTCTAAAGGCGGACACAAGTAAGGTTTCACCTAGAAAGAATGAATATTCGCCTTGTTTTCAGGTTTTTAGGAGACACTCCCAGTCGTATCTAAAATAGCTGAGAAGTGGGTGGTTAAACTCCTCACTGCTCACCTAGAAAACACCCAACCCTCATTACATCCATTGCAGTTTGGCTTTCGGGCACATCATTCCACAGTTACTGCCCTGTGTATGTTAGTGGAGAACGTGAAGAGCTTGCTGGACAAGAGTTGCTGTGTTGGAGCTGTATTTTTAGATCTGAAAAAGGCTTTCGACTCTGTAAACCATCAGATGTTGTTGTCCAGATTGACTCAGTTTAATATCTCCAGTCAGGCGCTTCAGTGGTTTGCCTCATATCTCTCACACAGGAAACTGTGTGTGGTGTGGGATGGGGTTAAATCTCCATATTTAGACTGTGATACAGGAGTTCCTCAAGGATCTGTTCTTGGGCCTTTATTGTTCTCGCTTTTTATTAATAACTTACCTGAAGTCTGTCCAAATATATTTGCTCAAATGTATGCGGATGATGATTTTTCAAAACGCCCCTTAAACTTGAAGCAGTCAAATATATTCCTGGATGGAGTAGAGCTTGATCTAGCACCAGAATTTAAATACCTTGGGGTCATTCTAGACCCAACATTATCCTTCAAGAGTCATATGATCAAAGTGTCCCAGGTACTTAAATTTAGTAATCGAAATTTTACTCATACACGTAATAATCTAAATATGAATGTTGCAAAAACTTATTTTACTCAATCATCATCTCTCATATGGACTATTGTTTGACATCCTGGTCACTTGCTTGTCCAACAACACTTAAAAGTACTGCAAACATTTATAAAAGAAGTTTAAAATTACTTGACAAAAAACCGACTTCCCACCACCATTGTCATGTGTTAAAAAACATAAATTACTGAACTTCAATAAGTTAATGAAACTTAAAAGAGTCTGTTTAATATATAAAGTCTTACACTCCCTTGCTCCACCACCACTAAAGCAGTTCATTAGGCATAAAGAAAGCTCAAACAGGAATACACAAGCTACAATTCGAGGAGAAATGTTTATACCACATAGACAGACAGCTTTGGGGCAGAACGTCCTGTCTGTCAAGGGTGGCCATCTGTGGAACAGTCTTCCTCAACCCATTAGAGAATGCTCGACTTTCAATTTGTTTAAGGCAAAGGTTAAAAACTGGTTATGGCCAAATCAAGTGTGTGATCATGTATGAGTTGTATAGTTTTAATGTTTTATTTGTTAATAGAACGGTGTGTATGTGTAAGTTTGGTGATGGAGTTTTTATTATGAATGAATGATGAATTTTTATGAATTATTATGTCGTTTTATGTCTAAGGACAACAGATGGAAATTAGCCTTTGGCTATAATCTGGCATGTTTACATTCATGTAAGCAGTTTTTACATTTATGTTCATTAACATGCATGCACTGTCCTAAATAAATAAACTTATTGTCCACACACACTCACAAAGATGCTAACAGGCATGTCAAAGTATGGCCCGGGGCCATCTATGGTCCTCAGGGTGATTGTGTGCAGGTCTCTCTTGCATTTCTACAATCATTTCTCTCCATAGGCCTGTTGATGTTTATCAACACTTTTTACATTTTTATGACACTTTTTATGTTTATTTTTAAAAATCAGAAATATGAGTAGTAAAATGGAAAAATAAAACTGTAATAAAATAATATTTGCAATTTTTTATAATAAACAAAATCTCATTTATTTGGCCTGCAAGAACTTTAACTTGATAATTTCTTAGTGATAATAGAGACACATTCAGGTAATCCCTTCTTCACCTGGCAAAGCAGAAGGACCCTTAATTAATTAATATTAATATTAATTAATATTAGTGGTAGATTGAACCATTAATATTAATTCATATTAATAACAATAAATATTAATTGATATGAATATTTATCAATATTATTGGTACATGGTACCATTAATATTAATGTTAATACTGACAAGACTGAAGTATTGCTGTTTGTGGGCCTTTTATAGTCTCTGGACTGAAACCCTCCTTTATGATGTCACACAGACTTAGCTATTGTGTCTACCCGGTTCTAGAAGATTCCATTAATTAAAGTTTTTATTTATTAATATAATAATAATAATAACAATAATAATAATAATAATAATAATAATAATAATAATAATAATACCAGTAATAATAATAATAATTACAAACACAATAGAACAGTCTGTGTGTGACATCATAAAGGAGGCCTTTAATCTGGAAGATTCCATTAATTAAAGTGTTTTTATTAATATTACTACTAATATTATTACTATTATTATTAATAATAACAAAACTACTACTACTACTACTACTTATAATAATGATGATAATAATAATAGCACTCACAAACACAATAGAAGAGTCTGTGTGTGACATCATAAAGGAGGCCTTTAATCTGGAAGATTCCATTAATTAAAGTGTTTTTATTAATATTAATATTAATACCAATATTATTATTAATAATAATGTAATTATAACAATAATTACAATACTAATACTACTAATAATAACACTTACAAACACAATAGAAGAATCTGTGTGTGACATCATAAAGGAGGGTTTTAACTTGGTACATTCCGAGACTATAAAAGGCCCACCAGCAGCAGCAGCTCCTCTTCAGTCTTTTCAGAGCTACTGCTGAGGACACACCACTGTCTTTAGACACCCAAGTAAGTTTGACCAAACCCTTTTTGTCTCTCAAATGATGAACAGAAGAAACATGTCGTGGTACGACTCACGTCTACACCCAGAAGACATTGATTATGAGTCAGACATGGAAAATGATATGTTTGATGAAACAGAACATACATCCGTCTTTGATGCTGAGATAGAGTCTCTTCACTATGAGACTAAATTACCTGCTGAACTGGAGTTCCCTGGGTCTGAGACGGTCGACTCTGATTCTGAGACGATGGTCCCTAGATCTCAGATGGTTCAGCGGGAATTAGCTGGTTTTAAACGCCCGAGAAAGCCACAACAACCCTTTACTTTTGGTGAAATGACGAACAACACAAACATGTCCTGGTACGACTTATGTGTCAACAACGTAGAAGTGGATTATGATTTGGTCATCGACTTTAGTTCTGATGGTGAGGACGAAAAGTCAGATCTACTGTCTACAACTAAAGAGATGGAGTCTGAGATGCCAGAACAAACATCGGTCTTTGATGCTGAGAAAGAGTCTCTTCCTAATGACACTCGTTTATCTGCTGAACTGGAAATCTCTGGATCTGAGACGGATGCCCCTAGACCTCAGACGATTCAGCAGGAATTAGTTGATTTTAAAAGCAGGCAAATTGATGACCTTTTGAAACAAGTGGATCATTTGAAAGAAAAACTGCAGAATACAGTTTCAAATACTTGTTTCAATCAGGAGAAGGGGAAGAGGCTTGCTGCAGAGAACCAGTGTGCGCTTTACAAGGAGCAAACTAAAGAGATGGAGAATGGTTTGGTTCAGCAGCAACAACAGCTGGTGGCTTTAGAAAAGCAATTACAGGAGCAGAAAAACGTGAATGAAGACTTACAAGAAATCTGCTCAGATCTAAAAGGTGAGACAGACGAGTCCCGTTTTTCTGGAGTCTCGAGAGACGTTCTGATCGAGAACTTTGAAAAACTGGAGGAACGACATTTGGACTTAGAAGCGATGTTTAGCAGAGAAAAAGGTGAGAAAATCAGCGTAGAACGGAAGTTGACTGACAAGCTGGAGAATTTAAAGGAGCAGCTTTCAGAAAAGGACGTTTTCATCAAAAATCTGCAAACAGATTTAGATCAAGAACGTCGGTTCAGACTCGTTAGTGTCCAGGAGCAGAAGAACGCCCAGCATAAAGTCACCGTCAACGAGAACTATAAGAAGGAGATCAAAGATCTTAAGAAAAGAACTGGTGACCTCTCTGAGTTGCTGAACAACATTAAAACGGATATGAAGTACAGAGAGAGGATACTTTTGGATGAGCGAAATGATTTTAAGCATCAGCTCAAACAGAAGGATCTAATCTGTGAAAGTTTAGAGAAACGTTTGAACAAAGAAAACGAGCTCCGCCTGACCTGTGAGGAAGAACTCAAAAAAACTAAAGATCAAATGAGTTCAATGAACGGAAATCTCAAGAAGGAGATCAAAGATCTGACTCAGAGCAACTCAGAACTCAGAGTGGTCGTGGAAAACCTGACCGCTGAGAACGCTGCTTCTCACAAGGAGTTGGTTGAGCAGCAAGAGAGCGTCAAACATCAACTCCAGGATAAATCTGTCGTCTGTGACCTTCTGAAACAAGTGGATCATTTGAAAGAAAAAGTGCAGAACAGAAATACTTGTTTCAATCAGGAGAAGGAGAAGAGGCTTGCTGCAGAGAACCAGTGTGCGCTTTACAAGGAGCAAACTAAAGAGATGGAGAACGGTTTGGTTCAGCAGCAACAACAGCTGGTGGCTTTAGAAAAGCAGTTACAGGAGCAGAAAAACGTGAATGAAGATTTACAAAAAATCTGCTCAGATCTAAAAGGTGAGACAGACGAGTCCCGTTTTTCTGGAGTCTCGAGAGACGTTCTGATCGAGAACTTTGAAAAACTGGAGGAACGACATTTGGACTTAGAAGCGATGTTTAGCAGAGAAAAAGGTGAGAAAATCAGCGTAGAACGGAAGTTGACTGACAAGCTGGAGAATTTAAAGGAGCAGCTTTCAGAAAAGGACGTTTTCATCAAAAATCTGCAAACAGATTTAGATCAAGAACGTCGGTTCAGACTCGTTAGTGTCCAGGAGCAGAAGAACGCCCAGCATAAAGTCACCGTCAACGAGAACTATAAGAAGGAGATCAAAGATCTTAAGAAAAGGAACGGTGACCTCTCTGAGATGTTGGACAACGTTAAAACGGATCTGAAGAACAGAGACAGGAAACTTCTGGATGAGCAAAATAATTTTAAGCATCAGCTCAAACTGAAGAATCTGATCTGTGAAAGTTTAGAGAAACGTTTGAACAAAGAAAACGAGCTCCGCGTGACCTGTGAGGAAGAACTCAAAAAAACTAAAGATCAAATGAGTTCAATGAACGGAAATCTCAAGAAGGAGATCAAAGATCTGAAACAGAAGAACTTGGAGCTCAGTCAGACGCTGAGAAGTGGTCAGGCTGTAGAAACTAAATCAGAACAGATGTGTGAGGATCTGCAGAAGTTTAAGCAGCTGCTCCATGAAAAAATATCCGTCTGTGAAGAACTTAGCAGCAGTCTGGACATGGAGAAGCAGCTCAGAGTTAGCTACGAGGCTCAGCTGGACTCTAACAGGGCGATAGTCTGTGAGAACTCAGATCTTAAAGAGCAGATCAAAGATCTGACTCAGAGCAACTCAGAACTCAGAGTGGTCGTGGAAAACCTGACCGCTGAGAACGCTGCTTCTCACCAGGAGTTGGCTGAGCATCTGGAGAGAGTCACACATCAACTCCAGGATAAATCTGTCGTCTGTGAAAACCTGGAAACAGGTTTCACCAACGAACAGAAGCTCAGACTCCAGCTGTACCAGCAACTCCAGGAAACATCTGGCCTGTGTGAGAGCCTGGAAAACCAGCTTAGAGACGAGCAGAAGATCAGACTTGGTTTGGAGACTGAACTCGCCCAAAACAGAGACGTGGTCAGTGCAAGTCACGATGATCTGATGACCAAACTAAAACAGATGGAGGAAAAAGAAACAAAACTCTGTAAAACTGTCGTTAACCTCCAGTTAGATCTGTTTAGAAACAAAAAGCAGCACGAGGAAGAGTTGGGAATCCTGAAGGAACAAGTCTCTGAACTCGAGTCACTGACTACAAATCTGGAAAGTCAAAATCTGATCTTGAGACTAAAGACAGAACGTTTTAACCCAGATCAGCAAACCGAATCGATCAGTGAGCAGAACGTGGACGCTGCAGAAGGAAACAAGAGTCTTCCTGCTGAAAACGACTCTTTAGCAGAAAGCCTCGAGTCCCAGAGAGACGCTCCACACTCAGACACAAAAAAACAGGAAAAAGTTTCTGTGTGGAGGCATTTCAAGAAATTTGTAACCCCGGGATGTCTCCGTCAGCACAAAAACAAACAACCTAGCAACTAACCTCCCTGCTAACAAATCAGAAAAGGCTAATTGGAAGACATCCCATCTCCTGGTGGCAGCGGGCAGCACTGTCCAAGATGAATGTGAGAAGTTAAACCAGCCACTGCCTCCCCAAAGACCCTGATGTTCTCATTATGATTTTCTGTTTCAGAGATGGGTGAACTTTCAAACATGTAATCCCCCAACACACAAAAAACAAAAACAAAATATAAAAAGCAAATAAATAAATAAATCATAAACTAAAATAAAAGCAAAAAAAAAAAAACTCTCTAACTCTGCCACTGCCGGTCCCAAGCCCGGATAAAAAGGAGGAGGGGAGAGATTGACTTTCTATGTGACAAAAAAACAGATGAAAATAAATAAATATGTTTAAAAGAGGGAAAAGAGGGGTCACCAACATCAGGGTCGCCAACATCAATCATTATGGTTCATTCTGTGAGAATCATGAATGTGCACCCTAAATTAGTAAAGATTTGGATGAAAGATTTGTAAGATACACTAACTCTAAAGTTTGACCTGACGGTGGCGCTGCAGGAAAGGTCATATCATCACCAAAACCCATTAAGGTTCATAATCTTGTGATCATTAATGTTGTTAGAAAATATGAGAAGATTTGTGTCAAAACTTTTCAAGATACATTTATTTTAACTTTGGTCTGATGATTTCAGTTTGGCCTGATGGTGGCGCTAGAGAACAGGTCAGCTTTCACTTTCAAGGGCTTATTTATGTATTTTACATAAATACATACAATGTATTCAATTTTTACATAGAAAACCGTTAAGCGTAGTTTCTGGTCAGCAGAGGGATACAGAGTGCTGTCCAATGTGAAGCTGCTAAAGATTTTGTGAAAAATCACTGAAACCAGTTTTAAAGCTATAGCTAAAAGTGTTAACTCTTTAGCATCGCTTTAATAAACCTTTAAAAACTGTGCAATTTTTTTGTTGTTTTGATTTTAGAAAGTATATTTCTCTTATACAGCTGTTACAGCAAATCTATAAACAAGCATTGAACACAAGCACGGCCATGGCACCCCCCCCCCACCCCCCCACCCCGGGTATCTTCCCTGAGACGCTTCTGCCAGAACTAGTAACCCACAACGCCAGAGGAAAAGAGATGGGGCTAAACACCCATCACCGTTTTCTAGGTCCAAATGTCTTTTGTTGTCCGTGACTTCAAATGGTGTTTTTTTATAGGGACTCAAGTAGTTAGTCCTAAAGTAGAAGTTGTAGCAGCCGACTGTTTCTCCTTCTCTGATATTATTGAGCTGAGAAACTCACACCAGTGGCGTTCTGTTGATGAATACGTGAGTGTGTTTTGAATGCAGGTCCCTGGGAAGAGCAGTGGTTTGGCTAGTCCGACATCCGGATGATCCAATAATTGCTTTAGGTCTGAAACGTGTTACTGGCAAAGGATTTTAGATAAACGCCAAAGAACCACTTTATTGAATTTTTTTATCTCCACAATTTATTTATTGTGTTAGAACATTTTTAAAAGGCATGAAAAAATGTTTTAAGCTAATTTGTTTTCTAAATTTGCCATTGCAGCTTTACTGTTTACTAGTTAGCCTCATTTGTCACTTAAGTGGCTTGTTTGTGTTGTTTCCAATTTCTCTGTGTTTACCGTGCTGCAAAATTGACATCTTTCTATATTCTAGGGTGGAACTGATTGATTTTGCTTGTAGACTGTCATTTTCACTAAAACAGCTCTCAATCTGTTTGTTGTTCTGACTTCCAGGATTGGCTCACCCACCAGGATAGTGGTCCTCCAAAGACAGTCAGTGTTTTCCTCTTTCCTTCTTTTATCTACACATTAATATCATCGGCATTACGATGGAGTCATTTTGACCCTTTTCAGCCACGTCACCTGACGTAGGGTCTGCCATGGTGGATGTCAATAGTGAGTTACACAAATATTCAACGGTGGGGGAAAGTAGCGATTTAGATTGCTTTTCTTTATGCCAGGTTAGCCTGGCGTCCACTAGTTGGGGCAAATTGAGTATGGTAGTTACAAAAGTTAGTTAGCTAGCTTGGGATCCGACCTTTACTTTGCCCATGCTCCAGGGTTCATAGATTTGAACAAGTGGTCGATTTAGTCAGAATTCACCTGGGAGGATTTATACCGTAATATGATTACACTGGATGATTTACAAATTTACAAAAGTTAGGATCCCTACTAGTTTTTGTAACTGGCTGGGTCAGCAGGACCAGGTGCTACTCTCATATCTGGGAAACAGATATCTTATAATGGAGAAGCTCATCATTACATATAAATAATGTAATTTTAACACACCTAGTCCTACGTAGGAACAATATCTTAATATCTAGCATTTCACTATGGTCCATGCTTTCGTTCTTTTTTAAACACAGAAACAGTTTTGTTTACCTGTTTGTAGCTACGGTTTCGCCGACAGCTGCCGGCTTCTTCAGGCTGACGCTGAGAAGCCGGCAGCTGTCGGCGAAACCGTAGCTACAAACAGGTAAACAAAACTGTTTCTGTGTTTAAAAAAGAACGAAAGCATGGATTTACAAAGACACAGCAAGAACACACCTAAGATTTCACTATGGTGAACAGAAATGCACGTCCACCATAGTGAAATATAAGATTATCAATACTGAATAGATAATATATGCACATCACATTTGTCACTTGAGGTCCATCACGGTCGGTCCCTGGCTTGCTTATGAATTATATTAATGTTAAAAGTGTAAAAGCTGCAATTCCACAAATACTTTGTGGGTTGCCAGTAGGTATGAGCGAGTACACCACTATCTGTATTTGTATCTGTTCAACCAACTAAATTATCTGTATCTGTACTCGGAATGGGCGTGGCATAACCCGGAAGTGGGCGCGGTTTAACCGGAAGTGGGTGTGGTTTACATCAATATATTATTTTAAGTCTGAAATTGATATGGAATGATCGGAAGTTGATATGTGTATTGTTTATTTGAAAACTATTTACAGAGCAGCCTCAGAATTGAGATTAAATATTTTTGATCATAATAGTAAAGAAACTATTACAGAACAAGTTTTTCAATAAAATCAGAACATTAATATTTAAGTGCATGGAAAGGGAAAGGGTCAAACTCTGGTAACCGGTGATGGTTGTACCCAGTGTGCGGCAGTACTGGGACCAGAGTGAATAGGGTATGTATGGGAAGCATGAGTGGGTGTCCGGCATGCATTTTTGTAAGTCTTTGGTTGTATGTGTATGTGTGAGCATGAGGGAGGGAGTGTGTGACTGTGTTTGTGTATGACTGTATATGTCAGGTGGGGCCTTTGACTCCTCCCCCCTCCTGGGACCTCCTTTGATGATATAGATCTTCGTCTCCCCTCCCCCTGCCACACCTGGTGTGGGGGGTTGTGCCTTGGTCTGCCTGAGTGTTCGTGGCTCCCGGGTCAGGGGGTTTAAGATCTTTGGCGCCTGCCTGGTCAATCCCGGTGGCTGCCTGGTGGGGTCTGGGTCCCTGGGCTCTGCTGTGTCCCCGGCGGGGGTGGTCGCCCCTGGGTCCCGGGTCGCTGGGTCCCGGGCTCGGCCGGCTAGGGGTTGGGAGGCGGCGGGCGGGCCTGTGGGCTTGCCGCTGATGTCTCCCGGGACTCTGCCGGCTGCTGGTTGTGGCCCCCCGGGGCGATCCTCTGCGCCTCTCGAGGGGGGCGGGGGGCCTTTCTGGTTGCAGTCCCCTTGGAGTTCCTGTGTTCTGGGGCAGCGCCTGGATCTCTGGGACTTGGAGCTCCCCCGTCTCCTACACATCTTTGGGGGCAGATCTGTGGTCCCTCACACTCTCTGTTGGACGCTCCTATAGAGAAACCTTACATAAACAAGCGCGTGTACACACACAGGTGCTCACATGGTGCTCTCAAAAGTATGGGCTTGGGCACGTTCAACACATGTCTCAAGGCTGTCGTTGCCACTAAATGCACTGTGATTTATTATCGTGTGATTGTTCAGTTAAACAATGTTGATTTTATATTTCATCATCACGTTGACGCAGTGATAGCTTGCTCCTGATGTATTGTTTTTTTCTGCTCTTCTCTTTCTGCAGGTCTAGAAGCAGACTCTTGTTCATTATTGTTTATTTTTGTGGGACCCCCCCCCCCCCCCCCTCTTCCCACCATTTGTATTTTCCTTTCTCTTTCACCTCTGTCTCTGTGTCTGGTCGGAATTAAAAAGCATTCAACAACAACAATAAAATTTGAAGTATCAGGCGTGACATTTAAAGCAGACGCTTTGATGCTCCACCTGAGAGTAAATCTGTAAGGCTTGTTACCAGCATTCAAACATCAATTCTGTTTGCTTCACAGCCAGACAGGACACGGTAAAAAAAAAAGAAAAAAAAGAAAAAGGAAGTTGACATGTGTATTGTTTATTTGAAAACTATTTACAGAGCAGCCTCAGAATTGAGATTAAATATTTTTGATCATAATAGTAAAGAAACTATTACAGAACAAGTGTTTCAATAAAATCAGAACATTAATATTTAAGTGCATGGATCAATACATCTGAACTCATGCAGTAGGAACTAGGAAATATGAAATGCTAGAAACAGACACAACTTTATGTATATATTTTTTTATTTTAATTGGATTAAACTGATTTTTTCTTAACGTTCTTGGCATTTTGCCCCACACAATGTTAAACAAAACAATGTTGATTAAGGTGTGTGTGTCTGAGAGAGATAGAGAGGGTGACAGGGAGAGAGATGGAGTTAAAAAAAATAAAAAACCCGACCAGAGCGGAGGTAGTGAGTGACTGATGCAGCACGTTAGCTCTGTCTTGTCAAATGCACCATGTAAGTTATGAAAAAAGTAACTTTAAATATTCAACCGAAAAAGAGGCGAGCTGAAGAAAACCTAGGGAAAACTAAAGAAACGTGAGCAACAGTGAAGCCATCACAGCGAGCTCCGTTACTGTCTGTGTGTGTGCGTGGACGAGCCGGACGGACTGTGCACCCGGCCGGCTAGAGAGTTTTGTGTGTAGGGAGGGGCGGGCGCTCTATGTGACTGGCCTATCACAGAGCGTGAAGACAGTCAGTTACCCAATGAGGATTTTCCTTCAGCACGATTACAGATATTTACGAGGTTTACTTGTTTCATGCTCGTATTCGTCAAAAATCCTTTATCCGTACCGGATACTCGTCTGAAACAAGTATCCGGCTCATCCCTAATATAAACAATACACATATCAACTTCTGATCATTCCATATCAATTTCAGACTTAAAATAATATATTGATGTAAACCACACCCACT